CCCAACAGTGTTTCTGGAGTATCAATCGCAACCTGCTCAGCGTCTGGACGCATATTACCCACATTACGGTGACCCTGGCCTTTTGCATAGGAATAAAGCGGGATGACACGAAGGCCTCTACCGTCGCCCATATGGGACCGTTTTGGGGTTGGACGGGTGTTTTATCTCGAACACGGACTAGGTAGTCCAGATGACCACATTGATGTCATCGGCCCTCCAGTTTTTTTTAGCCTCAGGCATAACGAAACAAATGTTTGGCCATTTTAAGACATTCTCGACTGTTTTGCGTCCTCCGGTAAGTTTAAGCCCAAGTGACCGTGAGTTATGTACCCCGAAATAATACTCTTAGACAGCTGGTAATCCACCCTGAAAAGCCTGCTTACCAACTTTCTAACGCTAAGACCTTTTTGACGGCCACTTTGGCGCCACATATTTTTGGCCACATGGCTCACTCCTGAGAGGTGACAAAAATAGAGCATAAACTTGCAGCGGTTGACTCCCGACAAATCATCGGCGTCACTTGCTGACTGTGCGTCCAGTTAGCGACAGACATTGGCTACAGACTGGATGGCCTCAATCACCCTCAACCGTCGTGAATGGCCCAGTGCGGACTAAATACCGAGACGTTCCCGTATCGGAGACCTCTATGCTGCGGGGTAAGGCGCCTCCACAGAAGTGAACTCTCTAGCAAAAAAATATTGTCTAGACGAATGAGTTACCGTGAAGCATATTCACAGTTGCAATGGCAACCCCAAAAGCTAAGTTCCAAAATAAATCCAGCGAGGCCTTAAATAAGAGAGCCTCTTAAAGAAAAATATAGGTGAGAAGGAACTTATGGGACACCCTGTATTTCGCCAATCAAACCATTTACCGCATCGGAGATACCTGTTATTCTCCAACCGTGTACCAGTTAAAACCGTATATTGTGTCAAACTGTCGAGCCGTTACACAGGAGTAGCAGCAGTGTGACCACTCTTCGCGTGGGTCCGCATGTGTCTGGTGAGAGTTGCCCGTTGAGCGAACCGTGCCGCACAGGTTGAGCAGCCATACGGCCGTTCCCCCGTGTGGGTACGCATGTGTTTTGTTAGGGTAGACCGTTCAGTGAACCGTGCCGTGCAAATGGAGCAGCCGTACAGCCGCTCCCCTTTATGAGTTCGCATGTGTCCAGTGAGGGTGGACCGATGAGCGAACCATGCAGTGCAGATGGAGCAGCCGTAAGGCCGCTCCCCCGTGTGGGCCCGCATGTGTGTAGTGAGGGCGGAGCGTGTAGTGAACCGTGCCGTACAGACAGAGCAGCCGAACGGCTTCTCCCCAGTATGGGTGCGCATGTGTGCCGTGAGGTGTGACCGGTTAGTGAACCGGGCCTGGCAGTGTGAGTAGTCGTACGGCCGCTCCCCCGTGTGAGTCCGCATGTGTTTGATTAGACTTGATCGTCGAGCGAACCGTGCCATGTAGATGGAGCAGCAGTACGGCCGCTCCCCCGTGTGGATACGCATGTGCGTGATGAGGTCTGACCGTTGAGCGAACCGTGCAGTGCATATAGAGCAGCTGTGTGGCCGCTCCCCAGTGTGGGTTCGCATGTGTCCGGTGAGTTTTGACCGTTCAGTGAATTGTGCCTTGCAGAGGGAGCAGGCATACGGCCGTTCTCCCGTATGGGTCGGCGTGTGTGTGGTGAGAGTGGACCGCTGAGCAAACCGTGCCGTACAGATAGAGCAGCAGTGGGGTCGCTCCCCCGTGTGAGTCTTCCGGTGACGTTTTATGTCTGTGGACCTGTCGGTCGAGTAACGACACCGCTCGCACTTGAATCTTCCGCTCCTGCCCAAGTATTTGTGACTTGTCTTCACGTGTCCGTCCAGATGTTGTTGTCCCAGACATCGGAAGTCGCAGTGGGGACATTGCACCGAGCCACTGATGCCTGAAGAATACACAAGAAGAAGAAAGGCCATTAAAAACGTTCCATGCCAACAGGTCGCACATACACTGGAACAATCACGACGCCGAGAGAAGACCCAAGCAGCTGGTGGTCGCGTTTCCAGGTCACCTTGGTGGTCGCCGTGGGCGGTAGCGGCAATGTTGACGGGACAAGTCATCAGCTTTCCATGAGTTGATCCGTTTGTCGTTCGAAATACAGCCATCAGAAAGGGAACGCTGAGCTCGTACAGAATAGTTCACTTGCCCTTTATTAACTATATCACAGGGTCAGAAATCCGACCCAACTTAACCATAAAGTGAAGGGCCTATTTGACAACACCAAGGAATAAAAATGTGAAAGATAAAGAGAGGACAAAACGCAATCAATTTTTTCTCTAAGGAATGTCTCTATTTGGGAAAACTCCACCGTGGCACGCACGCCTCCCGTATTCCACACCACGACCAAAATAAAACATACATGATAATGATACACAAGGTTGCATTAAATATTTTCTTTACATTTTAATACAAAGCAATACAAATAAATAGCGAGAAAAACACGCGTTGAACAAGTACTAAAACTTATAAAAAGCCGAAAATTGTTATGCACGCGTTTATTCGAACATGGCAATATATGTGCTTCAACATGAACACCATAACAGTTAACACTAAGAGTAAGACACATGTAGTAGGTATTGGTTAGTAGACATGTGTCCAGTGTCCTAGGAAGTGTCAGTACATTCTTGAATAGAGCAATGCAAACAATGCCTTAGGTGGCACATAATCTGCCGAGGGCGACACGACAGAAACACCCCGTCAAGCTTGTAAAGTTGTAGGTACAGACAGCACATAGCAACAGTAGCCGCCTTTATGTACACGGGATGAATAGAGTATAAAGATTTACACAACATGCCAACCTACGTTAGACCGGCGCCCTGTCGACAAAGACTGCGCAGCGCACATAATGCGGAATGCTGCAAATACTGGAGGGAGCCAAAGCCGTACAAAGAAGCATTACTTCGATATAACCGGACGCTCTCAACCCATTAATGCCGGAATTTTTATTTTTTATTCTTAACCCTCGCCCGTATAGGGGGGGGGGGGGGTCGAACGGACCCCCCCCATGGTTTTTCGCGAATAACTCGCGTAAAAAGCGGCCGATCGCGACGAAACTTTCAGTACCCTCGCGTTAATCAATTTTACACCTACCCTGAAAATTTCATGACCCTGACCCCAATGACCTTTGACCTGTGACCTACTTGTCGAGACCATGTTTGGCCGGAATCGCGATTCAGCGTATGTCGGCTCGCATTAGCCGCGCGTTTGCAGTCTTTTCGTGGTTTCAAGCGTTCAAACATGTGATATGATGTTGCCCCCATGCATTAGGGTGGGTATCAAGGTCACCTGAAGGTCAGGTCAGGTCATTGACCTTTGGTGACCTCGGTTCACTTTTTCGAGTTTTACATGTTTCTAGGCCAGTTTTTGGAGCTGAATTCGAATTTAGCAACCATATGAACATTTACGAAGTAGTGTTGGTGCCTTCGTAACATGTTACGAAGCTGTCAGAGGCGGTTGACACCTACTAGGAATACCCGGCAGGACCCCTACTGGTTGACCTGACCTGACCTGACCCGACCTAGACTAAATGCATAAAGACATCATCTGTGATCAAAACTAACATGATATTCGTGATCAGCGCCCCGAAAAAACCCATAGCAGACACACTTTACGACGTTATAACAGGTCCCGATTTTCCCGACTTTTGGGTCATTGACCTGACCTGCAAGGTCAATCAATGACCTAGGACCTTAAAATTAAGTATCATCGGCTTCCTCTCGTCACGGGCAACACGCTCGTTTTTTTCCGCGAAGCTCTAGCTCGATCAGGGGCGAAACGGCAAGGAGGGGGGTCCAACGGACCCCCCCCCCCCTTATACGTTCGCGGCTGGAAAAACACCAATACAGGCGAGGGTTAAGTTATCCTTAACAAATGTTACCCACATGGGTCCCAGTAAAAAAAAAACTGTGCAAGCTTTTAAAAACTGTTCCATCGGTTCTCAAGTTATGGGCATGGGCCATAAATGACCCAACCGGCATTGGTATAGTCACAAATGGGAGTTATCACGAAAACTGATTTATCTAGATACCTTATTGTGTATATTGTATAAGTGCATACCTACTGTATGGCGGTCTCAGCCAATCAATATTAAGACGCACTGCACGCACAGAGAGAGAGAGAGAGAGAGAGAGAGAGAGAGAGAGAGAGAGAGAGAGAGAGAGAGAGAGAGAGAGAGAGAGAGAGAGAGAGTGAGAGAGAGAGTGAGAGAGTGAGAGAGAGAGAGAGTGAGAGAGTGAGAGAGTGAGAGAGTGAGAGAGTGAGAGAGTGAGAGAGTGAGAGAGAGAGAGAGAGAGAGAGAGAGAGAGAGAGAGAGAGAGAGAGAGAGAGAGAGAGAGAGAGAGAGAGAGAGAGAGAGAGAGAGAGAGAGAGAGAGAGAGAGAGAGACAGAGAGAGAGAGAGAGAGACAGAGAGAGAGAGAGCCTGTGATGCCCCTGGCAGGCCTGTGGTGCCCCTGGCGGGCCTGTGGTGCCCCTGGCGGGCCTGTGGTGCCCCTGCTAGGCCGCTGGTGCCCCTGGGTCCTGGCATGACTGTGGTGCCCCTGACAAGCCTGAAGTGCTCCCAACAGGCCCGTGGAGCCCTTTACAGGCCCAAGGTGTCCCTGCGAGGCCGTTGGTGCCCCTGTGAGGCCGGTGATGCCTCTGCGAGGCCGATGGTGCCCATGGTAGGCCGATGGTGCCCCTGGCAGGCATCTGGTGCCTCTGGCAGGTCTGTGGTGCTCTTGCTAGGCCGATGGTGCTCCTGCAGGCCTGTGGTGCCCCTAACAAGCATGTGCAGTGGTACCCCTGACAGGCCCGTGGTGCCCTTGCTAGGCTTGTGGTGCCCCTGTCAGGCCTGTGGTGCTCCTGATAGGTCGGTGGTGCCCCGGGCCCCAAGGGGGGGGGGGGTCATGAGTGACCCATGTGATGTGCGGATCCCCTCCTTCGGATCCGCCACTGTGATCTGATCACAACCCCCAGAAATAAATAATCGTATAATCATCAGTTGCTTCCATTGTATTTAACATAGGTACTGAGTAAATTGATAACACTATTGCCGGCTGGGTCATTTATGACCCAAGGATATTTATTGAGGAACAAAAGTTATCCGGTGACGAGAAGAAGGGCAAAAATACACATCATACTTTTCAGACAAATTTAAATAGGTAGACGATCATTCAACAGATAGTAAATTGCAAACATAATACAACATTACTTTTTGGGACGGCGCGCCATTGCCAGTGACCGTCGGCTGTGCAGTCCCGTCGTCTTTGGCTCCAGAAACTTCAGTGGACGAGCTCACACCAGTTTTATGCCGCTCCGACGCTCGTCACTAAACCCACAAAATCGACAAAACACACGCGCAAGTTCATCAAAGTGCCACTTGCCTCCATTGAGAAGAAACATTAAGATTTTGCTTTTGCGTCATATATGACCCAAGCGGCATTAATGGGTTAAAAATGGCGCTTCGGCGCTTAAAATAACGACAGTTCCACAGTCCTTTCCCCCTATGTAAGGGCGGCTATTTTAAATACACAATCACTGAATCACACTGGATTAGTACAAACAAACCAGATATGACATTGGTAGCCACGAAGCTCACAAACGAGAGTCACAGCTATAACACGAATAACTAACGTACAACGGGGGCTGGTCAGTGGTCATGCACTTGTCGTGAAGCCTCAGCACTGTGTTTCGACATGCAAACGATTTACCGCTTCGGTCACTCACAGCTTGTTATTCTCACCAGTGTACCAACCACTTCAAAACGTATTTTTTGTGTCAAACTGCCGAACCGTTGCTGATGTAGAGGCAGCCGTGTGGCCGCTTTTCGCGTGGGTCCGCATGTGTCTGAAGAGATGTGACCGCTGAGTGAACCGGGCCTGGCAGTGTGAGCAGCCGTACGGCCGCTCCCCCGTGTGGGTCCGCATGTGTTCGTTGAGATATGCCCGTTGAGCGAACCGTGCCGCACAGGTTGAGCAGCCGTACGGCCGCTCCCCTGTGTGGGTCCGCATGTGTTTTGTTAGGATGGACCGGTTAGTGAACCGTGCCTTGCAGATAGAGCAGCTGTATGGCCGCTCCCCAGTGTGGGTCCGCACGTGTGCATTAAGATGTGACCGTTCAAGGAACCGCGCCTTGCAGATAGAGCAGCTGTATGGCCGCTCACCAGTGTGGGTTCGCATGTGTCCGGTGAGTTTTGACCGTTCATTGAATTGTGCCTTGCAGAGGGAGCAGGCATACGGCCTCTCCCCAGTGTGGGTTCGCTTGTGTCTGATGAGGTGCGCCTGGTCAGCGAATTGTGCATGGCAGAGGGAGCAGGCATACGGCCGTTCTCCCGTATGGGTCCGCGTGTGTGTGGTGAGGGTGGACCGCTGAGCAAACCGTGCCGTACAGATAGAGCAGCAGTGGGGTCGCTCCCCCGTGTGAGTCTTCCGGTGGTATTTCATATGAGTGGACTTGTCGGTAGAGTATTGACACCGCTCGCACTTGAATCTCCCGTTCCTGCCGATGTGACCGTGACTTATCTTCACGTGTCCGTCCAGATGTTGTTGTCCCAGACATCTGACGTTGCAGTGGGGACACTGAAGTGTGCAACCAACACCTGTGAAGCACATTGAGAGAAGAGCGATGTCGACAATGTTTCTGGCCAGATATGAAAAATCAGGCTAAAATGATTTCATCCTGGGTGATACTCAATATAAAAAAAAAAATGAAGGATATGCATCGCTTCCTTAGTAGCGATGCATTAGTTGTCGGTGAAGCAGGATTAGGGCGCCAGCTGTGCCGTCCGCATCTGGACGAAGAAGTTTGAGAGCCACTGAAGGTAGGTACTGACCGATGCCTGACATGCGGTCACGACGTAAAGAAACGTCGAGGAGCGGTGGTGGAACAAACAGTCACCAGCCGATAAACACGTAAAGGACAAGATCGGTTGGCTGACACAGATGAAAATTGAACGTCCACAAAGGCATGGGTGCCGCAACACCCTATGAAATGTTATGTCCCCAAACGCAAGGATGGCTCAAGAACCCCAAGTTTTTGATGCAGCTCCTCAAAATGCAGCAGCTTGCATAAATTCCAACAATGCTGAACAGATGGGCTAGATTGCGGATTGAGTAACATTATGTGCCCCACTCGATGTCAATAAAAATGCTGTGGTTCTTCTTGAAAACTTCGACAATATGGACAATATGTTCAAAAAAAAAATGTTGACATTCAAGACTACCCGAAACGGTATTCAATGCAACCATCACGCTATCTGCACAGTCATGAACTAGCGTTTTGTTCTTGTCAAAAAGTTTGGATTTCCCTTGCAAATACAAAGTTTTTTTTATATTTCATCCAACATGGCCACAGGAACCAAGGCGATAAATATGTACTAAGTGGCGTCACGAGAGAATGCTGACGTCATGGTGCACACTTCTTCGGGAGTAAAAAAACTGCATCCATTTGATAGTTTTAGACACTGAAATCTTGTTTCGTTAGACTGATGCTGAATATTACCCAATATCCCAAAACAATAGGGTTGGGACCTATCTGCATGCTCTGTATGTTTTGGTAAAATAAAAAAGCTCAGAAATTTTAATGATTTAATTTAAAATCACTTTGTTAAAAAAATGCCTAGTTAGTTCAGAAATTAATTATTTGTGGCTGAAAACAACTTGCTTCTGATTGGTCGGGCTAATCATGACGTCACATGTAGGTATATAACTGTCTGTATATTTGGCGCAGTTGAGACATACATTTTCAATGTATTTTCCTATGGTAAATCGGAGTGATTGGTCGTGTTTTCAGTGTCTCTTTATTTTGCGCTGGTATTGCGTGGCTAAGAAGTTTTATCAAGAATGGCATATACTAAAATGTTCCTTTAATAATGGAGCTTCAATATCTGTGAGTTTTATTGGCAAGCGAAAACTGATTTCGCTGTTATTTTATCTGGAAATTACTCATTTTTTTAGGTCAATATTCAAAATATTTTACGGGAACAAGTTGGCACTTTTCTTGATTTTTGCACTCAAATCGCGTGCGATTCAACTGTATTGGAACTTGCAAAGAAGCTTGGTGATTAATTAACTGTGTTGTTATGACACTGTTTGCAAAGCATGGATAATGAAACTCTACCAAAGACTTAGCTACATAGCAATGCCTCAAGTAATACGCAGGAGGGACAGAATTCAGAGTCCGATCGAGAAGAATCGGTGCAAATGCTACGAAGACCAGGCAGCTCTGATACAATAGCTAGTCGTCTCACTACTCTCACTCCATTAGACCAGCTGATTCCTGACAGCACCGACTCGGATGCAAAGATGGAGCTCATCTTCCAAGCCAGAAACCAGTTCTTTGATGGAAGATGTGATGCTGCCTCTGTCTCTGCTTTGTTGGCCACTTTGGACGGGGCGGAGCTCCGCTCCTTGCGTGAGCGGTTATTCGCCTGTCATCCAGAAATAGTTCCTTCGTTTGCTGGCCGTTCCCTGATTAGGTGCAATACGGGGAGCTGTAATCAGGGAAGTAACTTTCCATATGAAAGGGGTGCAGGTGCACCCCCGTCCCCCATCCACTAGAAGTGCACCCCCATAGGCTAAGCGGCGCCCCACACGCCGCCCCACACGATTAGCTCCAGAGCAGATGGCGAGGGTGATTTCCCGGCTACATTCCATCTCGGCGTCGTGATGCTTGTGGGCTTGGAAAGCGTCCAGTCGTATGTAGGGTAGTGTAGGGGTAGGGTTGAGTTCAATAAGGTCCTTACATTTGAAAGGTTTGAACAACCCGCAATCAGCACAACATACCACAAGTTAAATAAAAAACTACCAAACTCCGCCCAACTAATATTAATAAACATTACAGCCAAACTAATGGCCTAAATAAAAATATATCTCAAATCCTAACAGTTATCGCGGGTGATGGTGCCATGAGTTGCTATTATCCAAAACAGATGCAAATAAACATGTTTGTATGTCCTATGTATGTTTGTTTTAAAAACGTTGCAGCGTCGCTGGGAACTGCAGTCTTAGATCTGGGTATGTTTGGCATCTGCAACTCTTCATATACACATTAACCCTATTTCGGACGGGGAGGCCTTTCAGGATTTTCTTGTACAATTGCCAAACGCCGCGAGACATTCAGCTCATATTTGGTGACTTTTCCTAAATGCTCATTGCGCACATCTCAGCAAAAAAAAAAAATGCAGGGTCAGGTCAGGTCAGGTAACCAGAGCGGGTTTGTTGACCCCACCTCAGAAAAGCTTGCAAACACGTCAGAGCTTGAGTTTTTCACGAAGTTATTTCCTCTCATCAAGTCTTCAAAACAGTACCTGCAGTATGTGTCGTTTGTATATCTCAAAATTTTTGATCTGTGGTTAGGTCAGAGTCGTGACCTTTACATTGCAAGCCTATGGAAAAGTATTGAAATGCGACCTGCACCTCGAGTAAACGAGTCAAAACCACCCAATTCTTTAAGAATTATGACAAATTATCTTATCTGTAATGATCCAGGTGCCATTTACTGACAGGGACACCGGGGAGGGTTATCTGAGCCGAGATCATGTGAGGTGATATCTACCATACATCAATGCTCACAATACTTACAATATTGACAATGCTTTTGCTTACAACACTTACAATACTTACGATGAGACCAGCAAGCACTCTGCCGTTACAGTTCTAACTTCTGTTTCGAAAACCGACGTTACACACATTCGCTGCCAGCATAACATGTATTGTTTGACAGTAACAAAATACAATTGACATCTGAACCCCAAACGGACCGCCATCCACTCAAATTCTATAACCCTGACCGGTCAGGGGGCGAATGGAGGTCATCTCCTGGGCATTACACTCAGCCCTTGCACAAAATATCTCACCTCACAGTGATCATTACAACAATAGCATCGACTTGATAGTGGATTTCAAAGTACTTGCATCAGCTCTTCCTGCTATTGCAGACGATCATCTCCTCAGGGTAATGTTGTTCGGGACATGAACGAAGATCGTTTTCGGAGTTTCATAAGTGCTACTGCAACAGCCTGGCACAAAACAGGACTTGTACGCTCTTCTCTGCACTTTGCCCTTCAGTATATCACAAAAGAATTGTTAGAATCCATCTTACGCTTCTTTCACAGTTTCCCTTGCCACCGTAGGGCGTAGATAGATTGCTGTTGCTGGTAAGTTAAGGCACGGTAGATAGAAATTACCTCGGTTCTCAACGCCTTAAGTTATTTTCATAAAAAAGAACAAATAAATGATCAATAAGATGACAGGAATGTAAACATTTTAATCGTAAAGTAGTCCAAATATTGGAATGAGCTTTTGCTTTTCAGCATCCTCCGATTCATCATCTTTATCATTTGAAAATTCGAGGTACATAAAATGTTCATCACGCGCTCAATGTTAAGTGGGAATATAGTACACGGCAGACGCATTAATTTTTGACACTGAACATTTCATCCGTAAATGTTTTAGCATAATTTAAAGTTAAAAACAGCGCGAATGGCAGAGTGAAACAAACAACATCTTTCACCCATTGATATAACATGTAATCTGTGGTGCGCCAGATGCGCCATTATTTGTCAACCGCAGAAGGTGACATGTGACGTAACAGCATCAAGAGCATCTTTTTTCAAGAACTTTTCAAAACAAGTTTCCTATCTTTCTTCCCCCATTTCTCTCAGCATATTGATTTTATGAGGCAATGGTATGCACCATAAATTCTGTGAAAATGGTTTGATCATTTTCATGCATTCTTAAAAAATCGAGTTCCCAACCCCATTAAGTAATTAAAGAGATTGGGTACCTCATAAAAAGGGCAAATTCACACGATGATATCACGAAAAACGAACACGTTACAGGTATGCCAGTGACTACAGCCTGGTCACCGGCACGTTGTTGTATTGATAGTACCGGACTTTGTCAAGCAAAAAAAAAAAACCTTTTAACTTCAAGAACATAAATGCGCTCGATAGTTTTCGAGAAAACCCTGCTGACAGGATGTGCCCCGTGACACTATCTGCCCCAATCTTCCCTACCCATCGGCCGTCAACTATTCAAAACCATTGTTAAAGGTAAAATCGTTCCCCTCAGCAGTCCTTTAACCCTCGCCCGCACATGCCATTTTCCCATCCTAGAACGCACATGGGGGGGTGGTTGCCACCCCCCCCCGCGCCATTTCGTTCCTGTTGGAGATAGAGCTTAGCGGTAAAGACCAAAAAGATTCTTTGGGAAGAGACGAATCCAATGATACCCAGTTTTACCTTCTCAGGTCAGTCATTGACCTTCCAGGTCAGGTCAAACTAAAAAATGTTGCTGTTTTGGGTCACCGTTGGATATCAAGTGCGCTGCTTATCAAATACCGATGACGATGCTGTTTTCTGGTGCCAAGCCAGCTAGAACCTCTTTGTCACACTACACGACCAGAATTTTGCTGCTGAGGTCATTTCAGGTCAAGTTAGGTCAAGGTCAATTATATGTGTTTGTATGTCTGTGTGTGTCTGTGTGTATACTGATGTGTGCACCGATTGTTTTTGGGTCCATATTACATGAAATCATGATCTGAGAAGCTTTTACCAAAAATGCAATCAAAAAACTTCACAAAAAGTAAATTTGGCTT